TCCCACTCCATCAGTAGCTGTACCCCACAGTGGTGGTACCCCCTCCCACTCCATCAGTAGCTGTACCCCCCAGTGGTGGCACCCCCTCTCACCCCATCACTGTTCCTGCATGTCCCAGGATGTGGCTTGGCCCCCCAGCTGGGCCCCCCTCCCATTAACCCTCCTGGGCTCCACAGGCCCTGCTGGGGGGTGAAGGGGGCTCCCCACCATGGCCCCTGCGTGGGCGGTGACACCTCGCTGCCCGGGCGCGTGGGGCTGACGCGGCAGGGATCCCGTGTCCCACACCCTTCCAGCYGTCACCTGGGACACGTGCCAGGTGTGGGAGTCCCATGCTGCAGRTGGACAAACCGAGCCAGCGCAGAGCTCAGCACGGGGTGGCTGTGGCATCCTGCTGCCATAGGCCATCACCTTGTCACTTGAGCACCCACAGGTGACAGTCTGCTGTCAGCACTGGGGATGCCGTGGGCCACTGTGTCCCCAGGAGCTGGGCAGGGGGTGCTGAGGGTTCTYAGCCAGGTCTGGAGCAGGTGGCATTGGCTCAGAGCTCCCCGGCACGAGGCCAGTCCCGCTGTGGAGCCACAGCCAGGCACGTCCCGTCTCCCTGTGCCTCCACTGCGGCTTGCCAGGCCAGGAGGAAGTGTTTTATTTACCGGTGTTATTTTTAGCTGGATGGTGCCTGGCTGCCTTGACCAGCCCAGGACAAGAACCGCCTGAGCGCCAGCGGCAGGGAGAGTCCTACACAGACAGAGAGGATTGTTCTCTGTTTCTGTTATTCCCTGAAACCCTCATCCTCACAAAACCACAGCTGGAAGGACCCACGCCCACCTGCATTCATGGGTGCTGCAGGAGCCGTGCAGGAGCTGAGGGCCCAAGGGCAGTGGTGGGTTTCCCCCAGCCTCCCCCCAGCCCTGGCTCAGCCCCAGCCAGAAGCCACAGCACTGCCTGGCACCAGTTAATAATTAAAGCAAAAAGCTTTGCAGGAAGAGAAACCCAAACTAGCCTCAAGCTTCCACCCAGAAATGGCCACAGCAAAGGACAGAGCAAGGTGCTGGTGCCCCACGAGCTCCTGTTCTGCTTAATTGAGCAGCAATTAAGGGCAGTGCTAATTCCTGCACAGCCCAATGCTTCTGGATGCATCCCAGCGGCCAAGCTGCTCCTGCCCCAGGGCCACTGCTCCCTCCAGGACCCGTTACACACAAACTTAGCTTGGGAGCTGGGACAGGCTGTGTTATTGATCGTGGCACAYTGATCAAAGGCCATCAGCAGAGGAGCCGGGCACTGACCCACCGTGGTGCCTGAGCAGGTCCTTCACACAACACCCAAAGCTGCAGCAGGGAAGCCCAAAGCAGGTGATGTGCTGTGCCCCATGTGCCGTGTCCAGCTTTCAAAAAGGGACTGAAACAAACCCAGAGAGATGCATGGACAGGGTTCCCTGGRGCTGCAGGGACCCTGGGAACATGCATCCATCTGCCCTTCACACTTCCAGTCCGGGCTGAGTCACAGCCACAAGGGCACGAGGCTGTGAGGGCAAAGCTTAATAGGTTATGGTGAGGCAATTAATTATGCAAATTCCAGCAGGCTGCCATCACCTCCGCACAGAACACAGGAGCCCCAGGCATCTCACTGTGCTCCCCGAGCTGAGCACCTGAGCTTTACACCAAGGCACAGCAGCACAGCACAACAACCCTGGCACGGCACCCATGGCACCCCATGAGCCTGGCACAGCACCTACAACATCCCATGAGCCTGGCACAGCACCCAAAGCACCCCATGAGCCTGGACAGCGCCCTGTGAGGAGAGAGGAGCACCCACAGCACCCCACGAACCTGGCACAGCACCCCACGAATCTGGCACAGCACCCTACAAGCCCAGAGCAGCACCCACAGCACCCCACACAGCACCCCCACAGCCCCTGCTGGGCGAGGGAAAAACCTCCAGGACACAGGGCTGAGAAAAGCCAGCATAAAGCGTTTTTATTGCGATAATAAACTGGATACCTTTGTGCGGCGGAGAAGGAAGTGACYGGCGGGAATTTCTGTTACCAACGGACTGGGCAGGGCAGAGGGAGGGGGCACAGGGGACAGCTATGCATCCTGTGAGACCAGGCAAGCAGCGATGACCAGCATCAGGTGGCAGGAGAGAACGGGCAKGTGTGCTCAGAGCAGGGACAGCAGGGAGCTGATGGTTCCTTTCCATGGGGAAGGAGGATGGGCATTTTTGTTGAGTTGAGCCCCCACCACCTCTCCTGCAGACAGCACCTTCCCTTTGTCCAGTCTTCCTTTTTCTTTAAAGAAAGCTCCATGCTATGGGATTTTCAGGGTGCGGTGGAGCTCTGGTGGAAACCCAACTCCCTAAATCCAAAAGTGGGCTGGAKGGGAAGGCAGGCCCACCATGAGATGGGAGAGGGAAGCAGGGGCAGAGCAGCTCTCCTTCCTCAGAGTAAACCCACAATGCCCACAGTGATGCTCCCTGGGGAGCAGGGAAAGGCCAGGCTCCCTTGCTGTCCCATTCCAGGCAGAATTCCTATAAACAATCCTAGTGCTACCTTGCTCTCTGCATCCCTTCAGCCTCGACAACCTCACTCTGCTATGGCTTTTGCAGCAGCAGCAATTTCTGATTTGAAAACACCATAAATCTGCACCAAAACAAATAACTAACAGGATTCCTTTTGTTCAAATGACTCCTATCTAAGGTCAGCCCATCTGCGTGCTACTGGGAAAACGTAGTCTACACCTGGAACAAAAACAAGATTAAGAACTTGACCCAAAAAGAGTTGAGGTTTACGGCGTATAGTTTAAAAAGACATAAAAACACAATACAAGGAGGAAGAGTCAGACGCAAAGCTTAGTGACCAAAGGCATTCAATCAAGGTGTAAGGTTATACAATGAGTGTAGTGGACTATCAGGAAAAGCTCCGTACAAAGTCATGTGCACTCTTGTTGAAGCTGAGATTCTGGATTCCTCCATGTGCCAAACCTGTGGGGAGAGAGGAGAGGAGTATGACAGAGCTGCCCGCCCGCTGGCTGAGGAGGGAACATGCCCAGGGTGCAGCAGCCTCCTCACAAACCACAGTGGGCCCCCAGGGCTGCAGTCAAGCCTAAAACACAGAGGGGAGCACAGYCCCACCCTGCCCACACCGTGGGGACCCCACACCTCAGAGCAGARCCCCACAGAAACACAGAATGGGCTGGGTTAGAAGGGAATTTAAAGGTCCATYTCGTTCCAGCYGCCTTCCACTCAACCAGGTTRCTCCAAGCACCATCYAAACAGGCCTTGAACACTTCYRGGGGTGGGGCAGCCACARCCTCTCCTGGACAGCTTGTGCCAGAGCCTCACCACCTTCACAAGGAAGAATTTGTCCCTAATATCCTACCTAATATTGCCCTTTGTCAGTGTGAAGCCATTCTGCCTTGCCCTGTCACTCCAGATCCTTGTGCAAAATCCCTCTCCAGCTCTCTTGCAGCCCTTTTAGGCTCTGGAAGGCACTCCCAAGATTTCCCCAGCATTCTCTTCTCCAGGCTGAGCAACSCCAGSTCTCAGTCTACCTCCACAGCSGAAGTGCTCAGCCCTTGGGTCATACAGCCTCCTGCCCACACCATCAGCCCCATGCCCTGGCAGCATGAGGGGCAGGAGGGGGAGTGGCAGCTGGGCCCTGTGGTGCAGCAAGGACCCTCAGAACCCAAGGCACAAACAACTGGCACTGCAACACCTCCATGACATGAACCCGCTCTGCCAGGCTGGGAACTTTGCTTGTACCACTGTAGTGATCTGATCCCCAGCTCACCAAACTCCCAAGAGCAACTTCTACCCACAGCAAGAGACCTACCCTGTCCTTCTCATATTCCCCACTGTCACCCACTCCCTACTTCTCTCCCCTATCCCACCTCCCCACACTGTCCCAAGATCAAACAAAGGGGCCTTGAGCTGTCCCCAATCCRCACAGTCCCTGCCTGCAGCTGCCCCTCCTTACCCGAGGACAGGGTGCTGGGATGGGTCATTCCAATTTCATGAGCTCCACATCAAAAATTAGAGTGGCGTTTGGTGGGATGATCCCTGGGTGGCCAGTGGAGCCGTAGGCGTAATCTGGGGAGATGGTCATCTTTGCCCGTTGACCAACACTCATCTGGGGCAGAGAYAGAAAACACAAGGATGTCAGGAGATGGGCACAACTGCCAGGTGAGTGACAGAGGAAGGACACTGTCCCCACTGCTTTGCCTGCAYTGGGCAAGAACAAGGACCCAGGCTGCACAAACCAGGAGAATGTGCAGARTGTCAGAGGTAAAAGGTAGGCAGTACAGGCTAGAAAAGGAGCAGGGCTTGAGACAGGGAAGGCAGGAAATGCCAGGCCATTCCCTCCAGCCACCAGCATCTTTGTGCTCGTGTTGCCAGCGTGGCACAGAGCGGGGACAGTCACACGGGCAGGAGCTGCGTCTGTGCTGTGCCCACAGCGTGGGATCACAGCCCGGAGCTGTGCCGTGCCCACCATCCCTCCCTCCCTCCCTCCCTCCATGTGGGCTTTGGAGCCCAGGAGGCCTGAGCGCTCCCGCCGTGCTCGTTCAGAGCTGACTCAGTGCAGAAATGTCACCGCTGAGTCACCGACGTGCTGTAGGTGTTGCTGGGGCCTGGCCCGGCTCCATTCCTGCCAGCTGGCAGGTGGCAATGCAGAAGGTGATATTCACACCCACAYCTCCCAGCACCGAGGGGGTGGAACAGGGGAATAAAATAAAATAAAAAAATAATAAAACAGGGAATGAGCTGCATGCACACAGTGATTGCTGCCCACGCTGCAGCTCCCGGCGCGGCACAGCCTGGCACGGGGAGTGCGAGGCGGAGGAGCTCCAGGCACCTGAGCGACTCCTTCCTCCCAGCCRCGGATCACCTCCTGCTTGCCCATCACAAACTTGAACGGCTTGTTCCTGTCGCGGGAGGAATCAAACTTCTTCCCATCCTCCAGCATACCTGGGGGGAGAGAGGGAGATGATGGTGATACAGGGACAGAGCCACGCGTGCCAGTGTGAGATGCTGTGACCTGGCAGACKGAGCAGGTGACAGTCACATGGCTCTGAGTCAAAGATGTGTCTCAGCTTGTCCTCCTTTTCCTTGGGAAACACCTGTACAGGAGGGGAAACCCCTGAAGTATTACCCATCCTGGGRCAGAGCAGGATGACTCTTAGCTGTTTCGGCCCCAAGAAAAGGCCAGGACCAAGGACTGACAGGGAGCAGATGAATGGGGGAAGAAAACCTTGCCTGTTTCGCAGCAGCACCAACAGCCATTTTTCAGGCAGCAGGATCTGACCTTGTGCCTCCCATCCCACCAGAAAACACGCCTCACTCCTCACCAGGCTTCCACCTTCAGGCACCCAAAACACTGACRATACTCCAGTGCCCCATCTGGAGGYRGTGASTGGCCTCCAGCCCTGCCCGTGCCCAGCTGKATCCTGCTGATCTAAGCCAAATCCCTACTGGACCAAGGAATGACAATAGGGAGAGACAGCACCAAGTGCTGGATGCGTGTGCCTGGGGCAGTCCTCATTCCCCAGCACGGGCTGATATCCCCAGAGCTAAATATAACTCCCCAACATGAGCTAAGGAGGAATTTCCTCCCCTCCCTTGCTCCCTGCCTGACCTTCTTGGGGAATCTTGGAGCTGGTGCTGCCTTATAGGAGCAGTAACTCCACCAGTCAGCTCCTGTAAGGCAGCTCTAGCTCTGCATTACCACAGCCAGTGCCGTGTACAATAAATCCTGAGTGATAAGAATAAAACTAAACTCTCTTCCAAATGCTTTTCACTTCTTCCATTTCTCAAAACAGCCTGAAAAACCTGTTACCCTGGCTGGAAACTGCTCTACAGTCTTGGAAAACCAAATTTCCTCAGGAAGGCGTGGGGCAGATTGACTTCCCTTTGCCAGGGCATGTGTACAAGGGAAAGTGTGTTTGTGTAAAAGATGTGACAGGGGAATCTCAGCCCCTGATTCCATTGCGACCAGAGGGAATGGCACACAGGGACTGGCAGCCACAGTGATGGGAAATGCTGAATGGAAAGAAGGGAATGGGAGAAAATGCATCACCTTTGCAAGGGCAACAATCATCAAAACCTGTGCGCTCCTCTCAGGGAGTAGAATTAAGTTTTTTATTTAACAGACAGCAAAAATCYCTTCTCCAGGGTGTCAAGCATCAGCTCAGCCGGTCACGCTGTAGCCCTGGACTTTGGAATAGTAAATCTGGAATTCTCTCACTTCCTCCTTCCAGGATAAACCTCTTGTCGCTGAACCTGCTTCCAGCCTTGTCTGGCACTGCTCCTCGCTCCCGTCCACTGGCCTTCCTCCCGCCTGGCAGCAGGGACACGGGGCAGGCCGTGCCGGCTGGCACCAGCAGAGCTGCCTGGCTGCRGCCCCAGCTGACCCCGGCTCAGCTCCGAGCCCTCCAGTGCTGCAAYGAGCTGGGGTGCCTGAGGAAGGACAGAGGAGACAGCTCTCTGCCACCCTTCTCCCTGGACACCCACCAAGGAAAAACCCTGAGGCCATATAGCCCCCTACTCATCACAGCAAGCAGGGACTAACAGGATGCTCCTGAGGCATCCACAGCCTGCAGAAGTGCATCCCCTTCAATGCCGTGACCAGGGGAATGCAGRGGCATCATCAGCAGTGYGGGAGATGTTGCCACCCWTGTACAGAAGTGGATGGCACTGCCTGACCCCGCTGCCAAGCTCACCTGTCCCAATCCAGCCTCAGGAAGTGTTTCAGAGCTGGCAGCTCCCTGGCTGCAGAAGAGGAATTGATGGGCTAAGCTGGTTGCAGCAGCCTGAGGGATCGATTGCTCAGCTGCTCCTGGACCAGGATGGAGGTCATACGTGGGAGCCTGTCCCTGCTCTCCAGCATGGGGCTGTCATGCTCCCCCATCATGCCAGCAGGGAAAACAAAGAGGCTCCAATGCTTCGGAGACAGCATCCTCATCTCAGGCACTTCTCTGCCTGCAAGCCTCCTGGGAGATTTCTCCAGCCCTGGACAAGTATGAGCAACCATTTCCTCATCCTGAGCAAGGAGATAACAAGATCTTAAAAGCTATTATGGAGGCAAAGCATYCTCTGGCAAAAGCAGCTGCCCCAGCAGAGCCCCATGAGTAGCAGACAGCCCCTGGCACACCCCAGCTCATCCAAGCTCTGTGCTTGTTACCCCCAGTCCTGCAAGGAGAACAGAGCCCACGGAGGTAGGTTATAGATACCCACTTGCCCTGGCTCTCACCCTGAAGGATTTGAGTCCCGAGAGATCCCAGCCAGGCTATACAGACCTCTGGGGGTTTCAGGGAATCACAGTGAGGAAGGKGCTGCAGCAGCCATGGGATGGAGCAGGGACTCCGGAGCACAGCCCCAGCCCCAGCCCGGCAGCGTGGCCCTGCCAGGTCTCTGCCACACTTGGCAGGCAGGAGCTGGGAGACGCTGGCTGCAACGTGCGACTTGGCTGCGGGCCCCCCTGGGCGGGCAGAGGCAGCGGAGAGCAGTGCTGGAGCAGGCACAGTCAGCCCTGGGACAAACCTGCTGGGTCGGGTTCTGCAGGGGGTGCGCAGCCCCACCCGCACCCCCTCCTCCATTCCCTCCAGGGTGCTGATCCTTGGCACGGCCATTGCCTAGGGGCTCCAGCACACAGCCAGCCTCCTGAGGAGAGGYAGGAAGAGACCAGAGCAGTGGGGCAGGCACCTCTACTCCAGCTGGGATAGGATGGAAAACCCTTCCCAGATGCCTTAAAATACCCAGCATGCTCCAAACCCTTGCTCAGGATGAGGTTCAATCCTGCCTTCACCAGCATTCCCCATCACCTAAGCCCACCCCATCATCACCCACAGCTGGATAGAGAGAGGGCTCTGCCCACCATTCTCACRGCCTGGCAGGAGAGAGGACCCCAGYACAGACAGGGGAAGGGGAAGCTGAGGATATTGCTGAGCTCCCACAGCTGCCACAACCCAGCCCAGCAGCTGTACGCCTTGGGAGGAAACGCCTCACAACCACAGGGTGTTCACTGAGCAGCAGGAGAGCATCAAAAGCAGCACCCAGAGCAGCCAGGGGAGCACCACTGACCCAGGGACCATGCACAGACACTAGGGAGGACAGCAATCTGCTCAGTGCTGTCTTGCTGGAAAAAGACAATTTTCTCCAGTCCCCCACTGCTCCAAGCCCACCTCCTTCGGAGACCCCACATGCTGAACGTGCTTTGCCATTCAGGCAAAGCCGTTTGGCCAATCCATATCAGACTTGCTCCCGTCCTGGCACTCCCCAGAATGACTATGCCCCCCCCATTTCCCCTCCTGAAGCACAGCGGGGTGCCCACAGTCTTCCCACACAGCTGTTCCCCCTGGCACCAGCACTGCAGGATYCCCAAGTGCACAGCACCCCATTCTGCCCCATGCTCTGACTCAGGGAGACTCAACTCTGTTGGCCCCCAACCCACATCCTCTCCCCACTGATTCATCCCCACATCAAAGCCTCTTTCAGAAACCCCACAGCACGAGCTCTCCACAAAAACACCTAGGATGAACAAGGGGAAACAGGTCTGATTCAATCAGCTCCCCCCGTACATCTCCATCTCTGCAATTGCAGTGTAAGGAACTGGCATCTCCARGGAGGAGGCCCAGAGGTTGCTCTGCTCTTCACCCTTCCCCCAGTGCAGYCCCCCACACCAGAGGTGTCTGTCCATCCTGGGATGCTCTCAGCAGGGCTATGCCCCATAGAGCAGGAGCTTGGGCACAGGCAGCAGAAGCACCAGCCACTGGCTGACCAAACCAGCTTCCCCACAACCCCTCACCCTTGGATCACTGCTTTTTTTCCCCAAAATGGTGTTTACCCAAACCATTGTACATCCATAACCCAGCGCAGGGAGAGCTGCCCCCCGCACACCACGGGCTGGATCTCCCCAGGACTGGAGCAAAGGGCAGCTGGGGACAGAGCCAACACAGGGCTCTGGAAGGAGTTCTGGAGCTCAGCACCACCAGCACTGTGCTCTGCCACCATCCCTGATGCTGCTCTGGGATCAGCGAGTGCYGCAACTGGGTCGGGAATCAAAGGTTTGTAAGGTTTCCCGTGAGCCAAGCCCYGCTCCTGTCTGTAGCAGGGCTGGCTGCAGGAACTGCGCTGCCGACGCAGGGAAATGGCATCAGGGCCTGGAGGTGTTTGATTCCTGCTGCCTGCCGAGGCGGGAGGGGGGGCAGGAGCTGCCTGCGGACGGAACRGGGGTGGGGACAAAGGACAAATGGAGACAATAATAACAAAAACACAAAATAAAGGAAATTAGACAACCGCTCCCAGGCACAGCGATTCGCTGCTGCTGGGGAGGGTCTGTCGGGAGCAAGTCACCACGTAGCACTTTGCCTGAAGCACCATGACGTGGGGACAGGACGCTGGTGACCCCCAAGAAGCTCTGACRGGGTGGGGGACAGAGCTGGGGAGTGCAGCCAAGCTCCAGCAGCACCACAGGAGGGGAGAGCTGGCGCAGGGAGCCAGAGGGTTGGGAGCCGGGAGGGCTGGCAGGCGGCAGGACTGGCCCACCGGGAGCCACTTGACTGACTGCCAGCCTCTCTTTGTTCTTCCACCGGCGGAGGAAACGGGGCGGCCCGGGCAGACCAAGCTGCTTCCTCTCCCTGCTGACGAGGGAACGGGAAGGACGAGGGAGATGGAGGAGCAGCAGATGGGCTGGATGCCCGCCGAGCCCTCCCGGCAGGCCGGGCTCGCTCGGCAGAGAGGGGCACCCCAGCCCCTCAAGGGGAGTGAGGGGAGGCGGAAAGCACTGGGGCAGGAAGGGGAATTGGTTATTAGCAAAACCAGTCACAAATGAGTCGTTAACTCGTTTTTACCACCCCGATGAGCCAAAGCTGTACAAAAGGCAGCCGAGGGGAACAAGAGCCCTCAGGGTGACCCACAAAGCATTTTGGGGGGTCTCAAGGTTGGTTTCTTTCCCACCCCAACTCGCAGAAGGCTGCTGGAGGACACAACCTCCCCTGGCTTTGGGGCAGCCCCTCACCTTTGAAGCACCACCCCGACCACCAAATAGCACCCCGCTTACACGCACCGGGGTCCCCAAAAAAACCAAGGATGCGGGTCTGGGCGGCTCCACGGGGTACCCCTGGTGTCACCCCACAAGGGAGAAGGGGCTGGGGCAGGATTAGGGAGGGGGATTGCACTCCTGCAGCGAGCTGTGGCAGGAGCGACCCCGCTCTGAAGAAGCGGACCCCAAAGCTCTCGGGGGGTGACTCGTGGTGCCCGTGAGGGCTCCGGGCTCGGCTGCCCCACAGCCCGCGGGTCTCGGCTGGCCTTGGACCTTCACGGCTCTACCCGAGGCGCCCCTGCCTGCACCCCGGGGCCACCTCCCGTTCGTTCCCCGGTGCATCCCCAAAAAGAAGGCTGGATACGTGCGGGAAAGGCCCCTCCATTGCTAAGGCTGCGGGARAGACGGGGACAACGGGGCCTCCCCCATGGCCACGGGGCACCGACAGGACCTCCATCCCCACCCCGGGGCCCATCCGCGCCCCCCGGGTCAGGCGGCCCGGACGCCCCTCTTCCCCCGTGCAGCGCCGCGGCCCATCCGAGCCAACGGGCCCGGGGTCCCCGCAAGAAGGCGGGGGCGGGGGGGCAGCAGGCCCCGCTCCTTCGGTATCGGGGCCGGTCCGACCCTCCCGACCCTCCGCTCCCGGTGCCGGCGGGGCCGCCCGCACTCACCCGTGTAGTGCACCACGCAGGTCTGGCCGCGCTTGGGGAACGTCCGCCCTGCGGGGAGACACGCGCCGTCACCCCGCGGCACCGGCACCGGGATCGGCACCGGGATCGGCACCGGGACCCGCACCGGGACCCGCAGGGAGGGCAGGGAGAAGGGGTTGGGGGGGAGCGGGCTCGCCGCGGCTCACCGTCGCCGGGGGCGATGGTCTCCACATGCACGCCCATGCCGGTGCCGGTGCCGCTCGCACCCGCAGCGCCYGCAGCCCGACGGAGGAGGGGCCGCGTGTGCGCAGCCGCGACGGCCACCGCCATAGAGCCCGCCCGTCACTTCCATAGAACCCGCCCTTCACTTCCATAGATCCCGCCCGACTTTCCATGGATCCCGCCCGGCGGTGCCGCCCTGGCCGCCGCCATCTTCCGCCCCCCCGCCCCGCCGCCATCTCGGCACCGCGCGGTTGCCGGGGGAACGCGGGCCCGGTTCTGAGGGTCTCCGGGCGCGGCCCTGCGTTCTGCCCTTTTATCGCCGTTTCCAGCCCGCACAGCCGCGGGGTGTAAACCCTCTGAGATCACCGAGTCCAGCCTGTGACCCAACACTGCCGTGTCAACGAGAGCAGGGCACTGAGCCTCACGTCCAGTCTTTTCTTAAACAGCTTCAGGGACYGTGACTCCATCACCCTCCTGAGCAGCCCTTTCCAAGGTCTACTTACCCTTTCTGTGCGGGAATTTCACCTTATGTCCAACCTAAACCCCTGGTGCATCTTAAGACCTCTCGTCCTGTCTTGTTCCGCTGAAATGGACATATGAAGGCTGCAGTGCAGATCCAGGGCTCCTTGGGAGCCCCAATGGCAAAGGCCAACASTGTCCTGGCTTGTGCCCATCGCAGTGTGCCCAGAAGGACCAGGGCAGTGACCATCCATCCCCTGTGCTCAGCACTGCTGCAGCACTTTGAGTCCTGAAATCATTTCTGGGCCCCTTCCTTCAAGATGTACTAGAGCACATCAGAGAAGGGAATGGAGCTGGGAAAGGGTCTGGAGAACAAGGAGATGCTGAGGGAGCTGGGGAGGCTCAGCCTGGGGAAAAAGAGGCTCAGGGGGGATCTTGTTCTCTACAACTCCCTGACAGGAGAGTGCAGCCAGGTGGGGGTCAGGCTCTGCTCCCAAGGAACAGGGACAGAACAAGAAAAAAAAAAAAAAAAGCCTCAAATTGGAGGTTTAGGTTGTATATTGAGGAAAATTTGTTCAAAAGGATGATCAGACACTGGCACAGGCTGCCCAGGGCAATGGACTCATCATCCCTGAAGGAATTTAAAAGGCATATGGATCTGGCACTTGGGGACATGGTTTAATRGTGGCCTTGGTCATGCTGGGACTTGATGATCTTAAATKTCTTTTCCTACCGWAAAGATTCTGTGATTWATGCTGCTMCCCACTGCACAGATGGAGGTCAGTGCTGGCCCACATCTCTGGGACAGGCTCAGCAGAAAATATGCAGGTTTGAACAATCCCACACTCAAAAAGGATTTTTTTTCTGGCAACRGCAGCAACTATTTTCTTTTTTGGTCAAAAAAAGAATCACTCCAGGCACAGGATTTTTGCCTCAAAGCGTCCTATTTCTTTACTTCAAGGAGGTGAACTTGAGCCTCCACAAGGGAACAGCGAAGTTCCAAGGACAGCCAAGAGACTAATAAAAAGCCAGGATTCTCAGCAAGTGCATTAAAATGGGACACAAGAGGAGGAGACTCTTAAAATAACAGATAATAGCATGAAGCAAGTTTTAATTGTTTCTGTCCCTTGCTTGTATCTTTAAATACTGAAATACCAARGGTGTCTTTTTTCTTGTTTGATGTCATAGTAGTATGTTTTACATTAAAGCTCCAACACACCAATAGTGCCAGCAGTTTCTGACTTTCCACWTCAGCAGGGCAGATGTGTGAGGCCCTGAGTCAAGGTGAAACRCAAAAGGGTAGAAAAAGTGGTATGTTCTCATCCCTGGTTATCAGTGCTGTCTTTGCTGAAAGCTAGGCCTGTTTTCTCTACAAGAACTAGGTGATAAACAAGGATCTGAAAAGGGAAAATGCTGCTGGATGCAGGCCCATGCTGGAGCCCTTGCCTCGCTGGCGCAGGCACGCTTGCACATGCCTGGCACAGCAGCTCTTGCTCTGGGTGGGGTGTTTTGGGGTTTGCTTTTTTTTTAATTCCGTGGCATAACCTGCTCATCGACCAGCAGCAAGGTCACTGCAACAAGTAGTGTTTCAATAGGGACAAGGAGCTCAGCCAGGTTTGACCAACCCCTCACTGCTCAGGGTCCAGCTGGGCAGACCCAGGACAGGTTCAGGTCAAATTCTGGTGCCTAAACTCTGGAGAAGGCACAAAGGCTTGAAAAATAATGAATTCTGCCCAGATCGCTCCCTGCCCTCTGGATCATCCGCTGACAGAACTCACCGAGTCAGAAATGCCAAGAAGGACAAGCGTGACCATTCAGATTTAATACTGTAGAAAATAAAAGGGACATTATTTGAGCTACAGAAGCACCACCCCAGGCAGCAGCAGSCTGGCAGGCACCACACACACCAGCAGCTACGGATTTGCTGGAGGGCAGCACGGATCCAGAGAGGGATCTGGGCAGGCTGGATCAATGGGTTGAGGCCAAAGGTATAAGGTTCARTAAGGCCAAGTGCTGGGACCTGCYCTCAGGTCACARCAACCTCATGCAGTGCTCCAGGCTTGGGGCAGAGGGGCTGGAAATCTGGGAAAAGACCTGGGGGTGCTGGACAGCAGCAGCTGAACATGAGCTGGTGTGTGCTCAGGTGGGTAAGAAAGCCAGTGGCACCTGGCTTGGATCAGCAGGACCGGGACACTGACTCTGCTCCTGCACTGTTCCTAAATCCAGAGGCAGCCAGACTGGAACTGAGGCATTGGCAGAGTGCAGTGCATCCCAGCACCTGACTGGGCTGAGCCAGGGATCCCAAGGAAGAGCCTTCACGCTGCAGAAAACCAAATAACAATAAAGGTAAAGATTAAAACATGAGATTCTTCATGCATCAGAGAGGTGKTTCTGAACCAGGGCTGCTGTGACCATCCTGACACCACTCTCAAACACCACCACCGCATTGATCGGTGCACCACGAGACTTGAGGCTTTGCATTAATTCATGGCACAACTGGGGAGCAATTTACTCAATTCCTGCCAATGTGCACCAGACTGGAGAGCTGCAAGGTCAGCCTACGGTCAGATCCAGCTCCAGCCCTAAAAATAACCAGCCTCCCTCTCTGCCACTGCACGAGGCTGAGCCCAAYGCTACAGCCCCGGGATGGCTGATTTTCCCCTCTCCCCCCACTGCCCCCTCACTGTTGCCAGGAGAGATGTGGGGGTGCCGGCAGCTCTTGAAGAAGCTGCTGCAGGAGATGTAGCTATGGGCTACGATTTAAAAGCTCAGCCCTTCTTGACATTCATTTGACACTCCTGCCATAACCTCCCAACCTGGCAAAAACCAGGACAAGCTGCCAACCCCACGCAGCTGCCTGACCGGCGGCAGTGCAGCCCATTCTCATAGGAGAAGGTCCTGTTTTCCCAGAAGTGACTCAGGTGACATAGCCCAGGCAGGTGAACAAGCTGACTCCCACCCCGCTGCTTCCAGGTGTTGTTTCTGCTCATGCTTTAACCCACTGCTGCCTTCAACTTCACCTTTGTTCAAAGAAATTCTAAACCTTTCCCTGTAAAAGGGCAGTCTGAGCACAAAGACATCCACTATCTCGGCAGTATTTTCCCTAAAAACTGGTCAAAAATAGTTTCCTCTCAAAAACAACCTTTGTGTTTGCTGTGCTTGTGTTCCCACCAGGTTACGTGACATCTCCCGACCCCGGTGTCTCAGTGCTATTCTGGGGTTGTGGGAGCCCTTCTTCCCAACGCTGCAGTCTAGAGGAGAGCACGGATCTGCTTTGCCCAGATCTGTCAGGACCTGACAGGCAAACCCCTGGAAAAAGCTCTGGGGAGGTGGCAGGAGTGGGGCTGCAGCAGGACTCCCTCCCAGTGCCTGCCAGCTGGGAGGGGAGGGTGTCAGGATACGAACCAGCCTTTGGGACAGGGAACAGGAAACAACAGGAAGCGACGACTTTTCCCCCCAGCAGCACATCCTGACAGTGCAGCGAATCTGTGTCCTGCCTGATGAACTCAGCCTCTCCAGCCCTGGTTTATTCCCAGCTGCTGTGCTCTACCTGACATGGGTTAAAAGGAGCACAAGCACTTGTGAAACCTTGGTGAGAAGTCAGACAGGGGTAGGACWATAGRGAATGRCTTYAAACTGCATCCATCCCTCACTGCTCCCCAGCTACAGYTCTCCCAGGTTCTGCTCTATGTCCCTTTCCAGAGAGGCTGGGACTCCCAAGCTGGCTCTGCCCTGTCCCTTGCAGCATAGGATGGTGTGTGAGACAGTCAGCCCCAGGCACCATGTTCCTTACAGTCTGGAAGRAGCTGTACCTGAACAGGTGCTGCAGGAATTTCAGGGAGGCGGGGATGGGACCACACCACACCATAGCAGAGCACCTCGGACAGCACAGAGCAGCTGTGGGGAGGAAGCAGAGCTGGCCAGATGCAYCTCAGATAAGGTGGTCACACTGCTCCTTGCACAAGCTGAGCTACACAGCACAGCCTCTTCCTTGGCCTCCAAACCACAGCCCAGCTACTGCGAGATCAAGATCTGCGAGAGGAAGCACACACAAAAAAGTAATGTCCGAGTTCCCAACATCTCTTATTCTCTTGCTTAACTGCTTCAAGTTCTTGCCCTGCACCAGAGCCCTGGAGCAGGAGTGACCCCTCTGCATGTGAGATCTGCCCCTAGTTAGAGCCTGGAAAAGAGCWGCTGGCACAACTGACTCCATATGTGCCATCACACCGGCCTCTCGGAGCACTGAATCCCTCAAAAACCTCACCTCTTAGTCAAGTGTCCCAGCTGTCTCCTTGTGCTTCCATTCAAGGAATTTAAACACAGCAAAGATTCTCCCGAGGTTCCTTCAGACAGACATTCACCATGGAACTGGCTTTTTGACTTATTTTCTCAGGCTCTTGCTGACCAGGAAAACAATAGCAGACTGCATCCCAGTATCTTCCAAGGAGAATGATCAAAGAGGTATGGCATGGCTCTAACCAGGGAGGGGGCGGGGGGCAAAGGAAACAACAATTTGAAAGGGAAAGAAGTCCTGGGGAAAAGCTATGAGCAGCAGCATGATGCAGCTTGCTCCTGCCAGCATTTCATCTGCATTCCCTGGAGACCCTTCCAAACATTGAAATGGCCCAGAAA